TATTCATATCGTAAAAGTCCATAATAAATTTCTAAAAATATATTAATAAGCACTGTATTCAGATGGAAAAAAAAAAAACTTACCATTTGCCGGGGGTTAACGGAACAGTACCCTAAAATGAAATATGGGGTAACTGGGACGAAAGATCAGACTTAGAATGCTTTTTAATGAAACTTCCAACTCCAGATATTTTTCATTGAGGTTTCTTTCTCAAATTTTTGTAGAAAAGTTCATTTTTTGTTTGCTTGTTTATAAACTACCTTGACATATTTTAATTGCAACAAGTTGGAAAATGAAAATAACCATCTATGGTAAAACATTTTATGCTGCAGTTCAAGTTATATATGTGTGAGACGTGAAAAATGTATCACTTTCTTAATGACGTTGCAAGTTTCAATAAAGTAATTTTTATTCAGTAATATATATATATATATACCAATAAGTATATGCAGTGTATACTTTATCTCCTTACCTAGGAACGGAAGATAGGTACATTCAAAAAATTAAATATATTGCATCATATTAAAGAACTAACAAAACAGAGGAGAGAGAGATGAAAACGTTTACAGGTAATCCCTTACTTGTTTTATTCTGTTTGCTAAAAGAAGAACGAAATAACATGGATTGGCAAAGACTTACACGTACCATGTAAACACGATGCAAAAAGGAGCAACAGCGTCACCGCCGGCATTTTCTTCAGTCCGCTCTGCTAAGAAGGCGATTGCTCTTTACTTGTCTACGAAAGACCCGATAGATTTAGATAAATATAGCCTATGCCAAATTATCAAATATTATGGTTTCCGTTTCAGCTGTCATGCAGTGTACGAGTTGTAGGACTTGGCACATCTTTTTTTGTTTTCTTCTTGTAAGCTTCGTTTCTTCTCGAATAACCACTAGCAAACAGCAAAAATGACAGGATTGTGATGAAGGTATAATACTCAGAAGTCGCTATTCATTTCTAGGCTCTTAATTTGTGAGCAGGCTTTTTTTTTTGTATGAGCTTCAAACACAAAAATTTAGCTCATAACTCACTTAATCGGGGTAAAATACGATTGTGTACCCAATTCTTGCACCGACTAAAGGCTTTGAAGCGAGATGTAACGCCTATGTTTACTAGCTAGGCTTACCTACACTGCCCAAACCACTGCTCCCACCGCCACAGTTATTAGACTGCAACCCATCGATCACGTGCTCTGCACTGCGAGACGGCGCACGAGCACATTGCGTGCGCGAGAAGCACACGTTTTCTACATTCCGAAAGTGTCGAGATTATATGTTAGTTTAAAGATTACATTAATAGTTGGAACCTTGGATGATCTAATAGTAATAATAAATAATTATAAAAGCTAAATCATTCCAACAAAAGGACAGAGCTCAAACAAACGATGTATTTTATATTTCAAAACTTTCTTTTGAAATATAACATAATTGTTAATACTGAAAAATAAAGCATAACTTACAGAATTACTTGACTTCTTATAAGAAAAAGTAAGCTGAGAAACGTATACTGATCGCAGTAAAGAATCCGATTAACTTTTTGGTTTTAATTACCAATATAGTTGCATTGAGTATCAGTTTTTATATACACCTTTCTTTATTGATAAATTTTAGCCCATTAGCACCAGTTCGACTGTTAACGTTTCATTTCGTTGCCGAGTGTAAGAATTTTAAAAATTATGCAAATATTCAGTATCAAAAATAAGCAAACCATTTTGAAAACCTATTATTAAAACAATAATAAAGTGCCCAAAATAAAAACCGGAGTGTCATACCCTGTAAAGTGAATCTACAGGAGGTTAACATTAGAACAATGGGTCACTAACCACCCCTAGAATCATCAACTTATGTTTAGAGTATCTAGGGGTCTGTTGATGTATCCATTAGAATGTTGGAGATTCTCAAATACACATCTATAGGAAATGCATATGACGTTTTCATACATGGATTTTTTGAATAATACATAGGTTTGGAGGAAAGGGTAGAATGCAAGAAAATTACAGCTCTCGCTGTCCTAACATGTAGTTGAAAACATTTGAAGATCCTTCTGTAGAAATTCGAAGCGAAAAAAAAAACGGTATATTTAAACTATAAGAAGGGGAATAAATATTATCAAAAATGGAAATTTGTGTCGGAGACATGAAGGAGTCATCTTCTTTTGGAGGCTTCTATTTATAACATAAGTGGAATTTCTTTCTGATTTTTGGTGTCCCGGAATCGGCAAGTTTCCTGGTATACAGATTTATTGTAATATATCTATACATACACTGGTGTGAATAAAGACATAAACAAATTGGAATCCGGTTGTTGAGCGGTGAGTATGAGGGCTTATGATGCTAAAAATATAGTTTGGACAGAGTAAACATAGCCCACTGTATAACTTTGTGTTTAACAATAAGCAAACAAACAAAATAATCAAAATGAAGCTTTTTTTTCTTCATGTTATACAGTTACTTTGGAAATGATTATAAAGCACATTGATCAGGGAGTTGAGAACTCCACTGTCTTTAAGATCAGTATAAATCGGGCTACAACATCTTATAGATTTCATTTTGTTATACCATATCATAACAAAGTCAAGGCCTTGACACTTGTATATCAATAATAGAATGAATTGCTTCCGTGACAAAAAAAACAAATGTGGTTTATTTATGAATGTTTTTAGGGATCCCTAATGTATCCCGAAACTCTTATTAAAATTAATGGAATTAAATATATTAATCTAATTATCATTTTCTCTCTCTCCATTTTTAATAATAATATAAAAATATCTTTGTTCAATATTGATTAATATTTAAAACAACGCGACTTTTAAAATTAATGGAATTAAATACATTAATCTAATTCTCATTTTCTCTCTCTCCATTTATAATAATAATATAAAAATATCTTTGTTCAATATTGATTAATATTTAAAACTACGCGACTTTTAAAATTAATGGAATTAAATACATTAATCTAATTCTCATTTTCTCTCTCTCCATTTATAATAACAATATAATTTTCTAACTACTGGCTCCAAAATAAATGTCGTCAAATACAACTCAGGGCAGAAATGTAATAGGGGAAAAAATTACAATCTGAGAAAAATTAAAGTTCAATTATGGGAAAGGTTTCTGGAGTTAGGATCTTCACAACGATAAGAATAGAACAACCAACAGGTTTTTCCTCAATTCATATGACTTACGTGTAAAGTACTTTAACTAAAATAATACTAGAAACACTAGAAGATACGAGTGTTCACGTTCACATCTCACGTCTAAAATATCCATTCATTGTCAGCATTGTCGAAAAATTGCTTTTAACAGAAAATGAAATCAAAGGAATGAAATGAAATAAGTGACTACAACAAGGCCACTTAGAATGATGAGTGGAAATATATATATATATATAGAAGTTGTTATTTCAACCACCTCTCCCATAATAGCCACATAAACAAATCGTTTAATACTAAAACCGTAGATCTAAACGTCAGTAAATTTGAAAAAGAAAAAAGCAACTACATATATGTTTTTTTTTACGGAATATATGTGATATCACTTGGTTGAATAAGACATTTATTACAAATTGAACAAATGAAATACGAAAGAAAAAAGTATAATGAGATAAAATAAGTTATCTTAATACGAATTAATTTCCTGACTTTTCAGTTCATTTCTGTTTCTGCATTGTATTGCAGGAAATCATGTTCACACCACGAGAAAAATCGATAAGTAAATCAAACCTCAGGAAATATTCAACGCTGGTTGTGTCAAGATAATGAAGTAATTTCATTATGTATCACTGCTTGATTAGGAAGTTGAAGCGGATATGGCCAAAAGGTACACAACATATATTTTGAAAGACTGAAAAAAAATATGGAGGAACATTCATTTTTTTCCTCTTTATAATCTGTAATAAATAAAATTTTCATTACAATTTTATATAAAGTAAATTTTCTTTTTTACCGTTCCGCCTGATGAGTAAGTGGTAATTTTGTGGACTTATAATGCTATACTCGGGGGTTCGAGCACATAGCCACTTAACATCATTTCGTATTCAAAGAAGTATCGTACTAAGGGGGAGAAAGTTGAAGAGTACAGCTATGTAATTATAAGAAATGTGTTTATTAACATATTCATAATTAGATATTTACGAAACATGTTGCAATAAACTTTAAAATGTGGCATTAGGTTAATATCGTTCGCAAGTATATATATGTTCAATATTGATTAATATTTAAAACAACGCGACTTTTAAAAGATTGTCAGTTTAAATGGCCAAATCCATTGTTAACAATGATGCTTACTTGACAAACATACATTCAAATGGACAAATCCAATTTTAAATATGATACTTACTTGACTAACATACATATACAAATGGCCAAATCCAGTTTTAACAATTATACTTACTTGACTAACATACATATACAAATGGCCAAATCCAGTTTTAACAATTATACTTACTTGACAAACATATGTCAAATGACCAAATCTAATGTCAATACATAACGTAATACACAATTTCATTGCTCTTATTAGCATTCATAATAGTTATATTAATGACTTCCATATCGAAACTAGCCGAATATCATCAATAATTACCGAATAAAGTTTTAGTAACAATTATCGGTATGTAATGTCAGTTCCACAAACTGTTTTTATCTCTTTATATGAAGGGCAATGTCCTGAAGTCAACTACCATGATTTTAAACTATTTTTGTTAAGATCAAATTGTGTTTTACTTTTAAAAGAATATTATAGTGACATGCCAAAGTAGTTAATCTAAACGTTAACCTAAGGTCAATGAACTTCAAGCTACAGAAATACAATCGTACTGATTTGACAACATCTCTGACAAGTTTGTTTTTAGAATTAAGCACAAAGCCTACACAATGGGCTTATCTGTTCTCTGCCCACCACGGGTATCGAAACCCGGTTTCTAGTATTGTAAGTCCGCAGACATACCGCTGTGCCACTTCTCTGACAAACTTATTATGAAGATTAAATAAAAAAGGATATAATATATGAACATTTACGTTACGTTGAACCAACAAACTGGGGCGATATTTTACGTTAGGATTTTCGAAGCAGATTGTGTTGAAAATCAGCCGGTTGCACTTCGTTTCCGTCTCTTCTTGAATAATTCACGAAAACCCCACTCTCTTGGAAATCCGCTTACTGAGGCGACATTGATGAATAAAGGGTATGTCTCAGCTTCTCGACGGCTCTCATACAGACTTAGAGCTGTTTTGTTTCGTGACACAATCCAGTAAACAATGTTATTATTTTTGTTATAGGTTGCGGTGCGTTTAAATATAAACAAAGGGGAATCATCAATAGCCGCGGCACTTGAAATTTTTAGAGCAGATTAATCTATGAGATTTTTTTTTTGCCTTTTTATTAGCTATGTGTTTCTGTGCCAGTAATATCATGTGAGGGTTGCGCGTATACCTGATTCGATTTTATTACTCCTCAGCATCTCTACCAGCCTACCCTCAAACTGAAATTCTTTTAGGCAGTATTAGAGTATATTAATCTAGGAGACCTTGGGCGTAGTCAAATACATCAATCGTGGGCGGTTGACCTTCTTAGTCCAAAAATGTACTTAGATGTCAAATCGGTCAAGAGATGACGGAACTATGAGCTAAAAGTTTGTACTTGAAAACTCATTCTATGAGCCGCTATCCCGCGGTTAAAAATTACTACTAGGATTAAAAAATAACAATGTTTCTTGGCATGATTATTGACAAATAGGTAGCAGCTTCACGTTTACACAGTAAGTATATTAATTAAAAACGAACGTATGTTAATTTAGCGTCATGATATTTAATGGTTCATAGACGACCTCTGTAAGTAAATCTATTCT